GGTGGAACTTTGCTTCGGAAGCACCGCCGCCCAGCCCAGCCCAGCCCAGCCCAGCCGAGGAGAGAGAAGCTGGCTGGAATTACCTTCTTCCTTCAGCTCTTGGCTGAAGAAGGAAGGCGATGGCTTCTGCTCAAGCAGGCCAACACATTTATCCCCTGGGAAATTCGAGATGCGCAGGAGTGACGCACGTGCGGCGCCTCCCGAAGGGGTTGTGGAGCTGCCCCTGCGGGAGGGAAGCGACCGCACCTCGAGAGTTACTCGTTCTTGCCCAGGCCTCGGTTCATGCCCAGCTAAAAAGCCAGAAAGGGGACCCGGCAGTGGAGACCTGGGCCTCCCTTGGGGCATCCCTTCCAGACCCCACCCCACCGGCGCCAGGGGCTGTCCAGGCCGAACACACGCATCAGCATCGCAGGCACCCGAGAGAAGCACACAGAAAGCCAGGGGTGGGGGTGGGCCGCCTCCCTCCCCCTGATTCTGTTCCTCTTTGGCCTTGCCAACAGGAGTTGGGCGCCTGTACGGCTGAAGAGGAGCCTTTGGTCAGGGACCCAGCTTGCGCCCGGGGCCCCGTTTATTGGTGCTCCAGCTTGGGGGCGGCCGAACAATGCAAGGTGAGACGGGTTGATCGGTCGAGTCCAACTTTGTGCTTCTTCTCCACCCCTCCCCTTGCCGGGCACGGAAGGGGCCCATGGGTTGCCCACCAGCCAGAAAGGACTGCAACGCATTTCCCTCTTCCTCACAATTCCCCCACCCCTATCTGTCTTCAGGGGCACAGAACACCCCCAAGACTCATCGCCCCTGATAGCTCTCTGATCCAAAACCGAGGAGAGGGGGCCTCCCTGTCACCTTGCAGAGCTGCTGCATTTCAGCCCAAGCGTCACAAAGCTGGTTGCAAAATGCCTGCCCCCACCCCACAGGAAGCAGCCAGGCCTGCTCTGCTGCTTTCAGGCGCCGAGTGCAAAAGCCAAAGCCAAGGGTGCGGCCGATCTCCTGCTCCAGAAGAGCACTCCTCTCTGGGTGGTTCTCAGCTCTTAGTTCTGCAGGGGCACACACTGCTGTGAGGTCCCACCGAGCCTTGCCCTCTGCGGGGTGAGCCCAGCCTCACGTCTCCCTTCTTTTCCTCCTCCTCCTCCAGGCCCTGCACCACTGCCAGGCTCACGTGTGGCTGTAGCCCATCAAGGAGGGCCCTGCTTTCTTCCAAGCAAAGTCCTGCTCCCTTTACGCCACTGGCTTGGATTTGTCCTTGTGGACTGACTGGGGTGGGCTGGGCTGGGCAGGGGATCCTAATGGGACCGGGGGGGGGGCAGGCGTTCATATTCTCAGCTACTAAAGTTAATCCCCAAATTACATCCTATGGAGTCTCTTCCTTGCATAAAGCTCACGTTTCTTTGACGCTCATGGTCTGTGACATAAGAGACACTTTTTGCAGGGGTCAGCCTTTGGCCAGGCCAGGCGAGGCCCCTTGCCCATCTGGGCCAGAACTGCCAGTGCCAAGTGACCACAATGGCTCTTTGGGGGCTCCGGCCAGATCCCTTCCTAACCTTCCAAGCAGGTGTCTCTGGAACCCCCTGGAGGGGATGTCCTCCCCAGGACAAGCCAGGCCTGAGGTCCAGCAGCCCCTCCTTCCAGCCTATCCAGAGGGAGGGGGTGGCTTGAGAGAGGAACGTGACGTGGAAGAATCATTCTGAGTGGCCCATGGACCCTCTTGGGCCAAACCCACGAGTGCCAAGGACCGGCAGAATGCCAGGCACACCAAGGAGGGAGTGGGGTGGTGATGACGGAGGGGTTGGCTCTCTCTTGCATCCACATCGCTCACGAGGCAGAAAGGCAATGGCAGCGGGGGGGGGGGGGGAGGGGGCAGGGCTTGGATGCCC